TTTATGATGAGAAAAAATCGGCGAATCAATAATTTATAACCAGCTTGCGTTGATGTTATATCGGTTTTGCATTTGCTAATCGGAAACCAAGGAAATCTATTTCCCTTCCGCATCGCTGATCGCAAATTACACGGAAAACGAGCTGTATTCTGGGATTTTCTTTTATTGTCGGCATCAGCGGACGATTCTTGATCTTTAGAACGGTTATATACAAGACTTCTCAGTGTATCGATAAACTTTAACGAAGATTTCTTTATCGGGCAGAGGAGTTTATGGTTTCAACGATTTTTGCTGTTGTTCCCATGGTTTCTCGACGGCTTGCGATCGTATCGTCTGTAATAAACTTCGATCGCCGGTATAAATTACATTCCGTCTCAGCCGTTCGGACGAATAGTTGCCGCAACCTCGATTATTTTTAATATTATGCGAGCCGCTAAATCAAGCCCGTTGTTTACAGTTAGGAACGATTACCATCTCATTTCTGGTTACACCGTTAGGTAGAATTTGCATGCTAAAAATAGACTATGACGAAAAATCGCTCTTTTGCGTGTCCACGAATCCCTCGCCCGTTTTTTCTTTCTTTCTTTTCTGTTCTTTTTTCTTAATTAAATTACCCTCTGTTATCGGTTTCGCGTATCATTGAAAGATTACCGAGAAAATTGTCCCTCGGGCTTTGTTCTCGTTCGCAGTAGAACGTCGATTTTTCGTTTTCACTTTCCTCGCGCGACGGGTCCCGATCGCGACTCAATTATTTATTTAAATGAACTTAGACAGTATTGCCCGAACGATCGATTGCCGTTCTAAATATGACTCATCGTGGCGAGTTCTTAATTTTCTCTTGCGCGGCTGCCGACGACCGCAAGAACCTCTTTCCGATCGTTTCTTCGGTAGATAATTGAAAAACGAGTCCGTGGGACGAAGACAAATGACTAGTTTCTAGTGGGAAGTTTAGGAGAGAGCGTAATAAATAAGAAAACAAATACAAATGTCTGAAAATAATATAGAAACATCGAAGAAAATCTGAACGGAACATGAATGTTCTGAGAAATGCGTATATAAAAGTTTCAGAGATAGTAAACACATAAAAATGTCAATAATCAAGTAAATGCTTGGAAAAAATTGCAAACATGCGAGACAGTATTTTTTAGAAAAAGTCCCTGGCGACTATTGATTCACCCTATAAGTAGGTCGCGTCGGTGCAGACCGAGTTCGCGATTGGGAATCGCCGATCCTTGACGATATCCTCTATCAACCACCGTCCGGAGATTATCTTTCAAGGAATTGTCGGACTGGAGCAATGACGCTGGAACGCGTACCGTCCGCCGTGTAATGTATTCCGTGGCGCAGATTCGTGATTGGCCGTGTAACCATCGCGCGATTCGTATTTAGAGCTGCGATCCAACAGCGAGTCGAATGGGGACTGGACTGATCTCGAAATTTGCGCTCGTTACACCGATGGGATCTAAACACGACACGCAGTACGCCCGAAATTCTTAATAGCGGCATGATATCGAAAATTCAGCACATGACGTGCAAACCATTCCGAACAGGAAATCCTTTCAGCGTTGACCCAGCTTCTCGTCGAAGAGACGTTTAACCTTTCCACTTAAAGGTTTACTTCGAAAATCGTTAGAGTAATGAATTTAATTTTAGTGGTCTTTGCCACATGCTTCAGAAAGCAACGCATATCTTTCGGCCCGAAGGAATAGAAAATGAAACTTTGGATAACACAAATGGAATTCGATGTCCTTATAAAATAAACTAACAGTCAATTTATAAGAAAATTATATATCTTTAGATTCTTCGAATCTGAGTAACTCTGGATGATTTTCTTCGCGTTCGTGGAAACAAGGAATCCCAAAATTGCGAAGAGATATTTCAGGTTAAGATAAATAAGTATCTGTAATTGAATTAAGGAAGATTAGAATGTATTCTGTTGTGTAATTCGAGCAACGAATCAATTTTTGCGCGATCGGAATATCTCGCCGAGGTTGACTGTTCGATCCCACAAGGAAATTACGTGGAACAGTGGCGAGCATTGAATGGCGAAGGTTCGCCGGCTACTTTGCGCGAGACCGAGCTCCTGTTTCGTTAACGTTTTGTTAGCCGTTCGCCGTTCAACTCGATTATAGTTGCTCGGTTCTGAGCGCTTTCGTATCGCGGTCGCTCGACAAAAGCTGTTTGCGAGGGAAGTTTACCCGCGGCAACGACACGTAACTTTTATCTGTATCTGCCTCGGGACAATGCTGTAAAACGATGTCACTGTAATCCGTCGGATGTTACGGTGAGCCACACCGCGGCCGACAGAATTTAATCGCGTCATTGCTGCATCTTTTCGTCGTGGATAGCAGCTTCTTGCGCGTGATCCAAACGAACGTTTCCGAGATAATACGTACCCATTAGGCTGGTCTCTTCTCACTTCATTTACAGAAGTATGTAGAGTTGCCGGGGGCGAATCGGATCGCCTTTCTTTTGGCACTAAAGGAATAAAGACACTTGAACGTTAAAAATAGAAAGTGAACATGAATTTTTCAATCTTTCTGTGGAAATAAGAAATGGGAAATGTGAAATGATAAATACAATTTTGTATTCTTATTTATAATTTAATATTATTTCGAATTTTCTTGGTTTAAAAGTGTTTCGAAGGAATCTTCGGAACAACTTTCCTTATGAAACAAAGGAGAAAAAGGTTTACGAATTCTTGCAGTATACGAATCGAAGGGTCCGCCGCGAACAGCCCGCGAAGCATCGAGTTCTAGCTGAGACAAGGCCCCGAATAGCGTCTTTCGTAGTCCTCGCGCACAGAAAAAAGAAAAAGGGAACGTCCTACAGGCCCGGTATGCGGCGAATCTCTTGTACAGGTATTTCCTCGGGTTTCGGAGCCCTTTTAGCTGGCCGAGCGCACGGGTTCTTCGGGTTCCCGGGATATAGAGGGGCAAAGAGGGACCAAACATCCGATGTGGGCGTGCGCTAATGACTTGAATTAAACTCGTTTCGTCAAGTCGTACACCACGGCCCGAAACCGTGTATCCTGGCGGCCCGACGACGGACGAGATGTATTACCGCTCGGCATTCTTCTGTGAGAATCGAACACTGCGAGTCGCACGGATTCAGGAATGAAAATACAACTTTCAATTCGGTTGCAGGTTATCGTCATTGTTGCAGGTTACAATTACTGATTAGTAGTACTCACTCTAATCGTCTCGGTTTCAGTTGCAGATTAGCAACAATTGACGATTGTAACAGATCAAATTATCGATGATCACCTTGAAAAGGAAATTAAAAAATGTGAATGTCTATACATTGTCATCTTTTTCTTTTTTCTTTCATAAGTTGATACTGTGCCTCGTTAGAATTCTCAAATTACAGACTACATTTGTTTTTATAATAGGATGTTTAGGAATTGTAAATGAATTGTTGATTTCTGTGCAGAGATTAGTGTTGGCTAGTTTCGCGTATCAACATCTTTTTATTTACGTAGGAAGGTTCGTTATATTAGTTTTAAATTAGCGATATTAATATGTATTTGAAGATCGTGCAGAATCCTTGTTTTGCGTGTATATGTAGATAGATTGTGTAGAAGAAGGATCGAATATTTGAAACATCGGGGAGACCCCTAATTAGGTACTGTTTGATGTGCAGATAAGCAAGCAATCAGTTTCCTTGATAAAGCGCTTGTTAGTTTGAATTGGAAATCTCGTGTTCATGTTTTGCTGCGCGAGATGATTCGAGGAAGGCTGGCAGAATAGATTTGCTCGGGAATACTGATTTAATACGAATTTAATTAATTGCTCCGCGTTGTACGCAAACAAAATGGACGAAGAAAAATGCAATAAATGATCTAAATATTCTATTGCATATTGCATGATTAAGCGGTACGTAGAGGAGTAGCTGTTTATGCAAACACAGATATTTATCGGTATGAATAATTGAAATTGGAACGAAGGAAAGATCTTGTTTACTCTGCAGGAACGTCGGTTAGGATTAAACTGATATCGGTGTAGCATAAAAAGATCGTAAGCTGTATTAACAATTTCGTTCCTCGTACCGAACTTTGAGCGGTTATGTACATCACGAATGTATTCAAATTCGCTAATCATAATAATAACTGGATTGTTTGCGAGTATGCAAATTCACGCGTCTCATTTTAACTTCGGCACGACTTACGTCATTATCGGAGTGATAAGTTATTGAGAAAATGCTGGGCGTCATAATTCTCTGTAAATCGTGGCATATTCAAGCCTGAAGGTACACTTTTTCTTAAGCTTCTCGAGTCTGTCAAGGTTAAGATTACTTTCAAATGCTCAAAGAAATGAACTTCTTGCGTCAAATAAAAGACTGATCGTATATAGGTACATATATTACTTGGATGTACAATACAAAAAACAAAATTGCTCTTTCGCTTTTTATCGTAGATCTGAAAGTTCTTCGGCACCAGTGGGCTCGATAAAAACAATTCTGTACAAAAACAAACTCCTGGTTGACTATCAAAGACACGATCGGTATCACCATACAACAAGTTCCATTTTTTATCGCGGTACATGCTCGGTATACAGTCGAAAGTAGTTGCCTAAGCGTTTGAAAATATTCCACACAGCGAATACAGAACTTTTGTTCGTCTAAGTTAACTATCAGCGATAGAATAGTTTGATCATTGCTAGCCTACAGGATCCTCTAGACTGTTCCCAAACTGATCGATTCACACTTTTTGAACTTCTACACCTGCTTACGATAGTCAAGACCTGTTTTACATCAAAAGTTGCCCGATCTATCAACATATATCCTGTCCTATCATCTTTTATCTGCCGTTTATACTACTTTTCCACTGCGAGTTCCATTACGTTCCCAGAATATCAATTACATTTATCACTCCTAATTATGTCGCGTAATCTGCAAACATTTCATTAAGAATCATGGCTCATGAACGTGTCCTAAGTGACTCTGATCGTGATAAGTGTTCGTTTTAAGGTCCGCTAAATATCTGTCATGTTTTTTTCCAGGACTGTTGAAGTGTCACTGCGATATTTGCACGGATACCAATCACACGTGCGAGACCGACGGCTATTGTTTTGCCAGCACCAGCTTGGAGAACGATGTTATCACGTACGCTCGGAGGTAACGTATTACGTGCATGCGTGGTGGCGCTATGAGAGAGCAATTCCACTGACAAAAATTCTCTTCGCCGTCGATTCGTCGTCGTATTACAGCCGAGTGTACTCTGACCATCAGATCGATCGCCTGTGAACTCACTCACTCACCCCGACCCCACCGACCCCCAACCCCACACTATTCTACATCCTTCAAATACCTATTTTCATAAACCGTAGAAATTTGCAACGCTCGAATCGCGATAAAGGCGTGATTATTTAACCTAGCCGATACACTGACACGATTCGCGTGCGACTTTATCGTTATTGTATAATTTAATTATGTAACTTAATGACCGGTTATGTAAAGAAATTTATTGGATTATTCCGTGATTGATAACTTCTTGTCTAACTCTCAATAAACGTATTAGTATAATAGCGTTTCAAAAATAGATAACAATGTTGACATAGTGATCGACAGAGAAGTCTCCACTGAAAGGCTTGAAGGGAACTACTTTTCAAATATTAGGGTCGAAATTAAAAGCGATACATGATTGTTTCCTTCAATTCTCCCATCTCTACCGCGACAAATTTCTTTTTTTGTCAAAAGTCGACATCGAAATTAATCGGATCGCGAAATTCGTTGGGCACAATCGTTCGATTCGCAATACGTACCCGGTCAGACGTGTCCCGATTTGTCCGAAGCTCGCACTTGGAAGTATCCGTATAGCGAATTGTGCAATAACTGTTGTCGCGAATAACGTTATGCCGCGTGCCGCTGAAAAACGCGTTTGTTTTGATCGTACTGTCGCAGCCACTGGAGAAGAAAAGAAAAGAAACGAAAACATTGGTCGTTTCGCGATTATTGCGCGCAGGGAAAGAGAAAACCAACGTATTCGCGAGAATTCAGCCGCGACTCGGACGTGACGCCGCCATTTAAGCTGTTCATTCGCCTAAATGATCGACCCCGCGAAACAAAACGCTGGAAAATTTAATGAAACTACATTCATTCAGACCCAACGAAGCGTGGCCAACCAAATTAATGCTCAGTCGATAATAAATAAATAAATAAACAAATATAAATATTAAATATGTCGAACAGTAACAAGTTAAGCGATATTTTAAACGATAAAATAGCTGAAAGAAGAGCTGTTCGCTTGATGAAATAGTCGAATGTTTGAACGTCAACGGTAAAAGTTCCCTGTCGAGCCGTATCAGGCCTTTGTTTGGAAAGGGTTACCACTCGAAAGTATTGAAAAAATAAAATTGATCACTTTATTAAACGAACAAGCTCATTTTCTACGACGAGACCCATTCGATATACTCTATCCAAAGTTAACGATCGTCTCTCTCTTTTTGGTTCTCCATTGGAACGATAAACAGAACAAAATCGGCTGCCACCGTTGGAATTTGATTTTATCGTTCCCCGGTTAAATGGGCCGCATGAAAACTAGATTAGCCGTTATCGTTCTTACATAATTCCGATACTGTTCCGAGTCGCGAGCGTTTTATCGAGACGGATCCGACAATTTCGAGACAGGTTGCGCCGGGATTATCCGTTTAAGGATCTCGGGAGAACTTTCGCTGGGACGTGTGTTCGATAATCGATCGGATATTTCCAGTGTTTCGGGTAACACGCGTGGATCGGGAAATGCTTCGTTTTTTAATGAATCTTTCGTATTCGCTTGAAATCGAGCGTTATCCCGTTTTCACACCGCGCCCGAATATTTCGAGCAACCCCGTTAATTCCCACCGCTTCGATCGTGTCCACCGCGAAAGGAAGTTGAACAGTCACGTTCTGTTACCGATCGATTCCCACTCCCCCGCACACCTCCGCAATCCCCGATTCCCCCGCTCCGTTGTAGTTTCCAGGAACGTTTAGCCGCTTTTTTCCAGTCAGCCCTGCGGGGCATGATTAGCGACTGGTTCGGGAGTTTCGACGGAAACGAATTATTGTTGTCGGCCGGTGGTCGCGTTGGTAACGCTTCGCGGGCACGCCGGGTTTTCAGATTTCTCGCCGGAGACCGGCGGGATTGGGATTCAACTGATCAGCGAGAACCGTCTCCGATCCACCGG